GTATCTGACCTACATTGGTATTCTCCATCATGCTTTGCTGAGTTAGGTGCTCAATGGGGGATAATAGTAATAATGATATTTTAAATGTAAGTTTTTGCGGTTTAAGATGTTTATTGTTTGCATTCTACTAAACACCTACGATGTCCTAGAAAACCCTTAGTTTCTAAACACTTAGAACTTAGGTTCTAAAACCTTTTCCTTCCTAGTCTTCTAATGTTCAGAACCCAACCATATATTCATGCTCTAACAGTTTAATTCCTGTACCTATCTGTTTTCGTTCAAATAAAATAATTAGTTGTTTAAGTTACAAAGTTATCTTAAAAATACAACACCAGGAATCTGTTTTATACTCAACTCACCCCTTTCCTCTTAGGATGAAAGAGAGATTAAATTTTTTACCAAAGGCTAAAACAAATTGATGTTATTTTGGAGTCGAGAGGATGATAAAAGAGGATTATCAGCTCTACAATGAGAAAACAGTTGCAGTTCGTGTATTTAAATAAGAAAAATCTTATGGGGAGACAGGAGAGAAAGATAAATTCATGGGCCTTACAACCGACCAGCTGCTGGATATGCCAGAAGTGGTTTTTCCTTTTGAATCAGCTTTTAGGGAGAATGCTTTGGCTTCTAACCCAGGAAAATATGGTTAGGTCTTTCCTCTCTCGAAAGTAAATAAACTCATCTTCTCTTGACCGTCCCTACTCCCTGCTCCTTCCAGTTCTCAACTATCTTTTTTTACAACCAAGTTTAAAAAAAAAAAAAAAAAGTTGTCTCTGCCTAAGGGCGCCGCCTCCTGTCTTCCTCCTCACGGCTACAGTGTGCTGACTCCTGCCCCCAAGTTTTCAGTGAAAGTGAGTGCTTGTGTTAAGGTCACTGGTACCTTCCTGATTGCCAAATTTGAATGTCTCTGTTTAGCCCTTTGGTTCTGACAGCTTTCCAGAGCATTTATTAGTGTTGACCATGCTCTGTCTGCCCCCCCCCCCACCGTCATCTTTGATATCCTTCCCCCTGACTGTTGTTACTTTCTCCATCAGCTCCTTAAATGGTTAATACTCCTGATGTTCTGTTCTCTACCTTTTTCTTCTCACAATGCATCCAGGGAATCTTGCCCACTGCCGTGGCTTTTAAATGCAGTGTCTCCTAAATCCTTCTCTTCATACGTTTCTCCTTTGAGGACCAGGTCCCTGTTTCCATGACATGGTGAGATATCTCTGCCAGGATGTTCCATAGGCCTCTTGAATGTGTTCCCTCCCAAACTGAGCTGAACCTTCTGTGTACCCTCCCTTCCTGCCGTCAGCAGTGGCATCACTTCCATGAGCCCGCACCAGTTACCAGCCACAGCTTTTGCCTCACCTTTTTGTTCAATCAGTTCTGAATTTGAAACCTCTGCCATGTCTTGTGTCCATTGGTGCTGCGGAATGTACTAGGCGCTTTTTACATATGATTTGTCCCCTAAATGCCTCCAAATCCAAATTAATACCTCTCTCCTGTTCCCGCAGCTATTCTCATGGTAGGTATTCAATAAATATGTGTTCATTTATCGGTTTCCTGCCAGAAGAGCTAGTAACCCGGCATCATCTTGGCCTCTTGTCTTTTCCTTCTTCAGTCTTCATGTTCATCACTGAGTGCTGTTACTTTGACTTCTAGTAAACATTCTCTCTCTCCATTCCTTCTACCACTGCCTGAGCTGCAGCCTTCACAACTCCTTATTTAGGCTATTAGCCAGTTTCTTATTTGTCTGTCTATATGCTCCACTCCTTCAATTCCATCCTCTGTTACTGATGCCCCATAATCTTTCTCCAGTATAAATTTAATTTTGCCTGAGTCCAGCATTATCGGTTCCATTGTTATCTAATTAAAGATCAGAATCCTTAACGTGGCACTCAAGAAACATGATTTGGTGCTTGCTTATAATATAAACACCTTGCACACAGCCTTCACTCCAGTCCTATCAAAGTATTTGTAATTACTGAAAATGTCACCCCTTCTTAACCCCTCAGGGCCCTTTGATCTGTTGGAATGACCCCCTCTCCCCATGTTCAAATCATCCTTAAAGACTGCCCAAGCATCACCCCCTTTTAGAAAGCTTCCCTGATAGCCACTCTTACAAAGCAATTGGCATCATTCCTCTGCACACCCCCAAAAAGCTAGTGTTTGTCTTGATTATGTAATTTGTCTTTTCTGCCTGTCTGCTTAGATGGTGAACTTTTTGAGGTCAAGAAGTATGTTGTGTTTCTAATTATTTTTGCATACGGAAGAAAGAAAGAGGAGGAAGAGAGGGAAAGGGAAAAGGGGAAGTCAGTGAATTCATTGAGCCAGTGGATGAGCCAGTATAAAATTGCTAAGTGTTTTTGTTTTGCTTTTATTAACTTTATTTTAAACTGGCAAGTAATAACCACTCCTTTAACTTCATTAAACTGCTCTGCAGAAAACTGGCTAGTGGTATCAGTGGTTAAGGTTTAAAACCGTAATTAAAAGTAGCCCCAAAGAGGTGCCTGGGTGGCTCAGTTGGTTGAGCTTTCAACTCTTGATTTCGGCTCAGGTCATGTTCCCAGGGTCATTGGATTGAGTTCTGCACCGGGCTCCGTGCTGTGCATGGAGACTACTTAAGATTCTGTCTCATGGCACCTGGGTGGCTCAGTCAGTTAAACATCCGACTCTTGGTCTCGGTTCGGGTCAGGATCTCACAGTTCATGAGTTTGAGCCCCACATCAGGCTGTGCGCTGACAATGTGGAGCCTCCTTGTGATTCTTTGTCTCCTCTCTCTCTTCCCCTCCTCTGCTGGCTCATGCTCTCTTTTTCTCTCTCTCTCTCTCTCAAAAATAAACAAACATAAAAAACTTTTTAAATAAGTAACCCAAGAGACAAATTACCAATTTGTTTACTCTCCTAAAGAAAGGGCTGAACTGTATCTGTTAGTTGCTAATTAAAATGCTGAATCAACTCCAGATTAACACCAAAATCTATTTATGTTGATCTTGTATCCTTATTAAGATTTAATATATTTTTTAGTGAGTGTTTTTAGATATCAAGTGGAATGTTTCAGCTTTCTCTACAGTTCTTGCAATTCTGCAAACTTTTCTAAAGACAAAGCATAAATCCAGTTATAGTGAAGTAATAGGGTCCATCCTTACTCAGCACCATTCAGTTCCTGTGCTATTTCCAGAAACTTCCTATTAAGGAAAAAACTCTTTCATGGAAGATCCTTAATGGTAATGCTTTGGTAATATTATGAAAGAACATTTTTTTTTACAGATATAATCCAACAAATACTTTTATCCATGTAGCAATTGACTAGTCATAAACTATCGCACCTCCCTAATTGACAGTTATTTGCTTCGTAGCTCCAGAAGATCAAAGCAAACTGAAGTGCATCTCAGTTCTTCTCAGCTGTTTTATTCTCTTCTCACACAGCCGTTTTCAACTATTCTCGTCTTTTCCACCTCAAACATTTCAGCCAGGTCCTTCAAAGGAACACCGCAATACTCACCTAGCTTCAAAACCACCAGGATATATATGTGTGTGTATATATATATATATACACACACAGACAGAAAAATAGGAGGGAGAAAAGGGGATGAGGCGATCCAGAGCTTTTCCTCCAGAGCCTACTCACCTATTCTCTCCTTTTATTCTGAATGTGAAATAACTTTATTAGCATAATAGTTTGGAAAGCTTGTCAAGTTCATTACAGTGAAATTTTTCCTTGTGAAGTCAAGACATCAAAACTGCAGCTAAGTAATAGAAAATTAATGCATATTTGGGTACATTCTAAGCCTATCTGCTGTCCAGCATATGTTGTATGTGTGTGCACGCACAGGTGGGTGCTTTGGCCTAGCAGAAGAACATTCTCAAAGAAATTGAAAATAAAAGTGTGGATCATCATAGTGTATAACTGGGGTTTTTTAAAAAACTCCTTCTTGCTGGGCTTCTATGTATAAACTACAGGCATTAAAACCACCTGCTGGGAACATTCCTGCCAACTTAATCCGTGTCTAGCTAATAAAATGATTCTTCAGAAGCTTTAACTAGGGAAACAGTGGGAAGGAGAAGAGGAATCTCTCTTGACAGTTTCAGTCTCTATTGGAAAGACTGGAATTTTGTTTTTTAACTCTCAGAAACTCAGCTACCTTTGGTTTTTCTGGTTATATTTTATTAGTCAGTTACCTGGAATAAATAATATATAATAATCCTCCGTAAGATATTCCTCTGTTACCAGACACAAATATGAATTCTACACATTTTCGTTCAGAAACTTAATGCAAGAGAAAGTAGGTATTTTTCTTAGATTTTAAGGAAATCTAGATTGCCCACCTGAAATGGCAAAAATCCAAGGCTGGACTTTTCTTAGGGGAAGAAATGGGTCAGAATAATAGAAATAATTGACAAGTTGTATATATAATAGTGAAAAATTGAACAAGAAGCTGCTTCTTGTATTGAACTATAGGATAAGTATGTCTTGCATCAGCATTATTAAACTTTATTTTTTTTAAGTTATTTAATGTGGAGGCAGGGGGGTGGGAGCGGTGTGGAGGGAGAGGAGAGAGAGAATCCCCAGCAGTCTCCACACTGTCAGTACGAAGCCCGACGCAGGGCTCGAACCCACAAGCCGTGAGAACATGACCTGAGCCAGTTTTAGAGTTGAGCACTCAACTGACTGAGCCACCCAGGCGCCCCATTATCAACTATTTAAATGAAAGATATATACCAGATGATTTTTTAAATAACATTTTTATGGCGTAGGATTCACATAAACCCTTTTGAGTCGAATGTCAGCTTTTGTTCTGGGCTTCTAATTACTTGCTGAGACACTCACTAGCTATTCAAGAAGCCACTCGACTCAAACTGCGTTTGTTCCCTGAAAGTGAGTCCTCAGCTTTCTGTCGGCCTCCCCAATGTTAGTGTCCTGAAATAAAAGATACTTAAACCCACTCGTGATGAATTCTGTTCTGCTGGTTTTGAATCTGGCATTTTACTCTATTTCTCTTTTGTATTTACAGAACTTCCTTATGGCTGGGAGAAAATCGAGGACCCTCAGTATGGGACATACTACGTCGAGTAAGTTCGGTACCTCAGTGACTCCTCTCCCAAACGGTTTTCCCTCATTAGGGAGATACAGAATGCAACACTTCGTGTTTCTGCACTCCGGCTTTCAAGTCTTTCTGCTAGGGGAGTTAGAAGTAGGGGCAATGAGCATTTATCTCAGTGGTTCTGGGCTCCTCAGAAGTTAGCTTTGAAGTAAATAGAGCGAGAGGGAAGTTGCCAGGCTGATAAATAGCTGGGCGTGCTACCATTACCACTACAGCCTGTAAAGAGAAAAATAGTACATAGAAAACTGTGAAATGAGGGCATGGACTAGATGAAATGTTAAGGTCACTTCCAACACTGGAGCTGTTTGGTTGTCAAGGCAGGGAAAGGGCAACGTGCTGTAATGATCCAAAGCTTGGGAGAACAGGATGAGAAGTGTGCTCTCTTTTAAGGAATTAATCAGGGGAACGCTCAGTCTTCTTTTGAAGGGAAGAGCGTTGCTTCTTACACAGCTGTTACGGTTAAATTTAAACATAACTCTATGTAGGAGTGGAGTACAAACACCTACCTATGTTAGCCAGAGAAATCAGGGTAACATCAATGTGCAATTTTTCTTCCCCTTTCCTTAATTTAGCCAGTTGCTACACTGTTAGGACCACTGGGATTGCTCTTTCCAGATGCGATAGGTAAAATTTTTGACCTCAGGCAAATAGTTGCATCAGAAATGTTCTACGCACCTTCCTATGCTGGGGTCTCAACCTACTGCCAAGGTGGTGAAGGCTGTGTATTACCTGAAAAAAACAGGAGACAGGAGAATCTTCTAGTTTTTATAATTGCCAATTAATTTCTCATCACTTTGTGGTGTAAACAAATGACATTTCATAGTGTTTATCCCTAAATATGTATCTCTGACTCCTATTGTGATTCTTTTTTTTTTTTTTTTTGAAGGAAGCCTAGTTGACACACAAGCTTACATTAGTTTCAAGTGTCCATCTAGTCTTTATTCTAATGTGTAGGTTGTTACATGAGCCGCTGTGGTTAGAGAGACTTTTGGAATGATTTCTTCAAATCTAACCTGTACCCTAAGAAAACAACTCCGTTTGACCCCTAGGTATAGAACTTGACAGTGTAGATACTTTGGTTCCTTTGGACAGCTGTGCTAATTTTATTTTCGTTGTGTTATTTAATATCTTGCTGATGTTATGATGTGAAAAGCATACAGCAGCTCTTTTATTTATTTGGTTTTCTTCTAAAGCATATTTCATTAAAGAAACAACCATTTCTTGAGTCAAAGGATTATTTGAAGGCCAGCTGAAAGATTTTGTGGGACTTTCCCCCCCTTGCTGTTTGGTCTCTTTAAATTTGGCTTCAATAAACTATTAATTGCCATTGACACTGCTGAACAAATTTCTGCAATTATGATTCTCATGCTCTTGTCCATTCCAAGGAAATTTAAATACGTGGTCAAGAGGTGAGACTCATTTCCCTGTTATAAAATCTTGGGCGAAATGATCGGGTTCTTATTAAGCAAAGATGCACTATTGAAGCAACCTCGGGGCAGATCCTGAAGTGACCTGTTCCTAGTTGTCACAGAGCGTGTGAAAGAGCCTGAATTAGAAGCAAAAGCAGCAGCAACGTGATTTTGTACGATTGGTCCCAGAACGAGCTCATTTTACAGGAGGGTAATTTATTAGATTAAGAAAGAGCAGGCTGTACTCGGGATGCACATTAGTATGGAGTCAGCCGAGCCGCAGAGTGTGGCTTGATTCCCAGATTCGTTAAGGGTTTGAATCCCAACCATAGTCATCTGCAGCGAGTTTACTGATGGAGATAAAAAGCTGTTACTTGAACGGCTACTCTTTGGCGCTCTCCATTTCTCCATTTGTCAAACCAGATGGCACGATGATTGCTCTTGGCCGGAGCCTGCAAGTAGTAACACCAACCGCAGTGGCACTTTTTCTTTGCAAGTATTTGTTTTCAGGGATGCGATTCTGAAATGGATTAATTTATTTTTGAAAAGAAAATTGTTCCAAAAATCTAACGGCAGGCCTTCTGTAAGAATGCTTACATATTTGGAAATGTTATCTCATGGTGTTGCGTGAAATGCCTTGATGCTCTTAGGTTTCGGGGTTGAAGTATACCCCTGCTTTAATGTCCCAAATTCTTCGTGAAAGAATATGGACAGATTTTGTTTGTGGAGATGAATTTTTTAAATCCACCTATCATATACACAGCATTTTCATACAGATGAGATTCCAGGTTATGTATGTAATCATGCTTCCTTGCTCCCCTTGTTTAGTTTTTCTGGTAACCTGTGACATTCTCCTATATTATCTCCCGTAGCTAGTTATATGGAAAACAAAATCTGTTCCATCTTAACATTGTGGTGGCTTCACGACATGGTAACTAAATGAAAAGGAGAGAGTTTTTACTTTGTTGTTTTGTTTTGTTATTTGGGTAGCATTTTAATCTAAGTAGTTTAAGGTGACAGATGCAATTACATCCTTCGCCAGAATCTTGCATCCTTTTGTCAAAGAATTTTCAGGAAAGGGATTACTCAGTTGAGTACTCCTACTCTCCTTTCCCACACATTACGAAGAGTATAAATACAAATTACTACTTCTTATGTTTTAATGCCTAGGTGGCAAAATGATTCATTCCAGCTGATGACGTGAAAGCCGGCCAGGCTTCATTCTAAACAGATTTATTCTTTTCTGAGTGTCGCTTTCTGGTGGTTTTATTTTTTCAAGAATCTGTGAAATGTCAGTACCTAATAAATGATGTTGAAAATGGAACCTAAGGTAACACCAAAGATCTTTATTTTCCCAGAGGGTTAAACAGTTAACTCACTGACAGGGGGTTCTCCTTGGTAGGAAGCAGAAGCTTCCTTGCATTTGAGCAAAACCACACCCCAAAGAATTTCACGCAGAACTTGCCATATTTAGACTCTGAAACTAAGCAACTACATCTGCTGCAGAGTTAATAATGCACTAGAAGCCTAAATGGCATAGGGAAAGTCAGTATACCTTGTCCTGATGGTCTCTGCTCTCCTCTTGCATCAGCACCATTAATGTTCACAGATGGCAAAGCAATTATCCAAGTTGTATGACTATTTGTATGCAACCTTTGTATAATCCTTTTGTAAAGGCAGTCATAATCTGAGAGTCTCATGATTTGATGTTTAATTGTTGGTAGTTGCGAATGTCACTTCTTGTTAAAACGGATTCTGCTGGAAAAGGTAAATCATTTGGCTGAACTATACATGTACCACGTAATACATAGTGCTAGAACATAACCCCCCCCCCCCCCCCCCCCCGCTTCCGAGTTAGAAGCTCTCGAAACAACTTGTGTATAGTAGTTGTATTCTCACCCAGCTTCCACTTGACTGACTGGCCAGACCAAAGGGTGCTCTGTACCCCCAGTGAAACACACTCTCGCCCACCATGTAGACTGCTGTTGGCTAGTCGCTCACACTTAGTCTCCCCATGCTGTTCTGTTTTCTCCCACCAACTTACGTGCTTTCCACGGCTGTTGTGAATGTTCCCAAATCAGAAATACCAGCTAAATTTATATTGTAATTACACAACCATATTAATTATTATATAATTATGAAAAAATTTAAACATGGAAAAGTTCTGTGATACAAATTGATAGAAGCAAGTCTCTTTCTTAGCTGCTCTGCTAAATTGATGTGGTTGAGTCAGTTGGAAAAATAATAGTAAGAATCTAGAAAGCTGCTACACTCAGAGAGTTTTCCAAAAGCATCTTTGTAGCTGCTTCGTTTTAACAAAACTTGAATTAAAATCCTCCTACCATTAACTGCTTTTTAGAAAATGAACTGATCCATTGCCAGCCATTCTGATTGCATTAAATGCGAGGGCTTCTCCTCCGGTTTTTGAAAACGGTCATTGGCTCTATTGGGTCCCTGATGCAGAAGCTGTCGTGAATCCTTCAGCAGCTTTCACTCTCGGCGTCTTCCATGGGCCCTTCTGTACTTCCTAAACGCCTTTCCCCTTCAGTCTTCTAGCTTCTCTAATTCCATAGTCAAGAGATACATGTTTGCCCCTTAACCATCCGGGGATGGAATGGTGTAAGAGTCTATTTAAAAATAACAGACCTCTTTCTTTTTAAACTGAAATGCTTGTTTTTCTATATTTTACAGTCACCTTAACCAGAAAACCCAGTTTGAAAATCCAGTGGAAGAAGCTAAAAGGAAAAAGCAGTTAGGACTGGCTGATCCTGGGTCTTCAAAACCAGGTAGAACCTTTTCCTCAATCTTTTCTTCTAAGAATACCTTGTGAAATTTATATACTGAATTAATGAAAGTGAGCTTGGACTTCTTATTGTTGGGGCTTTGAGGTTCAATGGAGAATGTCTCATTTTGTCACTGTAAACACAGGAATAATCTTAATAAAGCATCTCAACATTTGAGAATGCTGCTATTTTCCTATGCTGCTATTACACAGAAAGCATGAAATGGTTGGTGGAAGATGTTGAATGTCTTTGTTACGAGTTTGAGGTTGTGACGTGAAGATTGCATTGTTTCCCAGTGTTTCAGACCAGACAATGTGACATCTCTAATTCATTATGAGCTTCTCCCAAGTTAATGCTTAGATGTAAGGTCTGTAACCATCCAGGATTCTTCATGAACTGCTATGGATAAATTCACCATATTATTTGCCTGTATCATTGACTTTTCAAGTGAGATGGTAATTCAAAATCATTGGGCGAACGTTTAAAATACATTTTTTTAATGTTCATTTTTGAAAGAGAGAGAGACAGAAATGCAAGTGGGGGAGGGGCAGAGAGAGAGGGAGACACAGAATCTGAAGCAGGTTCCTGGCTCTGAGCTGTCCACACAGAGCCCGACACGGGGCTCAAACTCATGAACCATGACCTGAGCCAAAGTCGGACGCTCAACCAACTGAGCCACCCAGGCACCCCTGGGGAACATTTTTAAAATACATAGACCCTGATATTTTGATGAGCCCAGCCATGTGTATTTTGAAGAAGCTACCGAGGAATTTCTTACATTCTACTCATCCCTCCCCGACCCTTCCCCTCCTCCATCTGTTGTTAATAACCAGGATTCTGTCTATACAGTCATATTATAGTAATGGAGTAGACTCCCCACTTCTGTTGCCAATGAAAGAAGCACTTCTTCTTTTTTTTAAGTTTATTCATTTATTTTCAGAGGGAGCATGTGCAAGCAGCAGAGGGCAGAGAAAGGGAGAGAGAGAATCCCAAACCAACTCCCTGCTGTCAGTGCAGAGCCTGATGTGGGGCTGGAACTCAAGAATGGAGAGGTGATGACCTGAACCAAAACCAAGAGCAGGCTGTTTAACTGACAGAGCCACCCTGGTGCCCCGAGAAACACTTGTTTCTTATAGCTACCCTTCAAAAACATAGTCTCGTCCCTTAAGTTTTCCATTTGATTTAGTAAACATTTGTAGTTTAACAAATATTTTTGAATACCTACTATTTGCCCAGTGCTTTGCAGGTCACATGATATTCAAAAATGATTAAGTCTTGCCCTCAAGAATTCACATTCTGGGGATGCCTGGGTGGCTCAGTCAGTTGAGCATCAGATTTCAGCTCAGGTTATGATCTCACAGTTCATGAGTTCAAGTCCCACATTGGGCTCGCTGTCAGCACAGAGCCTGCTTCAGATCCTCTGTCCCCCTTTCTCTCTGTCCCTCTACCACTCATGCTCTCTCTCTCTCTATCTCAAAAATGAATAAACATTATAAAAAAAAGAGTTCACATTCTGATATAGGAAATTAGTGGTTGCCATATATGGTGTTAGATGCCATCCTCAGATAGCAGTTAAATGTGCAGAGGGTGTATCAGGTGTGAATCCCAGCTGTGTAACCTTGGATGAGCTCCCTAAACTCTTTGTGCCTCTGTGTCTTCATCTATAAAATAAAAGAACAGTACTTACCCCTGAAAGTGGTTCTCAGCACGCAAATTAGTATGTATAAAGTGCTTACAATGGTATCTGGCAAATGGTGTCCAATACATACTAGCTTTTCTTGTTATTAATAGAGGTGTGCATGTTGTATTAATAGAGGTGTATTAATAGGTGGCATAAAGGAGGGGGCGCCCACCTCTCCTTCGGTAGAGAAGGTCAAGGACACAGAGGAACTTTCAAAGAAGAAGACACATTAGAAGTGGATCTTAAAGTGTCAGTTAAATCGGACAGATGATAAGGAGCACGAAGGCATAGCAGGTAGAAGGAACAGAGTGTATAAAACCATAGATGCATGAAATGGTGGTGTAGGGGCCACAGAACAGATAGGAGTGGCTGGCACATGGGAGATTTGTGGGGTAGTAACAAGAGATGAGGCCGTAGGGGGAGGCAGCCAGGAGAAGAAATGAGTTTCAAAAAGAAGTTGAGTGTTTGTGCCCCATGTTGCTGAAAAGAAAGGTGGAAATTGAAAAGTATACACCAAGGTTGACAGTATGGAGGTCACCTGTCACTCTAGCAAGAGCAAGTGGAAAGGAAGTAAAAATGCAGTAGAACGAAGAGGAAATGGTGGGTGATGAAGTAAAGACAATGGGTATAGTCAACTATTTTCATAGCTTCGGCTGAAAAGGGGTAAACAGAAGAGACTCACTGGAGTAAAACATGAACCCCCATTGCACATGAGAGACTTTAGTAGACATAAGCCTTTTGCTAAGAACCATATAGTCGGGCCAGAATTTGCACCTATTTTTACGGAGTTTAAATTCAGAGTTCTTTGTATTATAACACAGAGCTCCTGAATGCCCATGTCTGCATCGCACATGTCACAGGAGATCTTCTGTCCCTCACTAAACTCTAAGCTCCTTGAGGGCAGGGACCATGTGTGTGTTATTTAGATAACCAGGCTCTCTCTTACGATCTGGGCATTAAAAGAAGAATTATGACTCAGCCTGTATCTTTCCAGGAGCTCACAATTTAGGGAACTAGACACCTAATTTTGGTACAGTATGATAACAGACATAAAAAAGTTGGAACAAAGGAGAGGGAAATTAAATCTGACTATGGGAAGGGCAAGAAAAGCTTCCTAGAAGTGATAGAAGTTCTAGAAGAACGATGGCTAACATTCACTGAGACACTGGGTCAGGTACTCAATTGGACGCATTATACATCTTCTCATCTAAGACTCAAAATCCCTCCATGAGGGATTAATATTACGGGCCCCATTCAGATCCCTTGATGGGATCTTGCAGTTGTTTGATGCATCCGTTCCAAGGAGATGCTTGCCACAGGAGAAGTACTCATGTTTGTAAGCCAGGAACCTCCTTTAGACAGCATGTATGTGTGTGTGGTCATCTGCATTTATTGAGCACTTACTGTTTGTCAGGCCTTGTTGCCTGTGCTTTTGATGCTTTACCTAGTTCAATCCCTATAACAATCCCATGAATTAAGCACTATATTCCTATTTTTAAATTTTTTTAAGTTTTTTTTTTTTTTTTAATTTTATTTTTGAAAGAGGCAGGAGGGAAGGGGAAGAGAGAGGGAAACGCAGAATCTGAAGCAGGCTCCAGGCTCTGAGCTGTCAGCACAAAGCCCAGCGCGGGGCTCAAACCTACCAACTGGGAGATCATGACCTAAGCCAAAGTAGACCGCTTAACCAACTGAGCCACCCAGGCGCCCCCTATATTCCTATTTTATAGATGCAGCAATTGAGACTTTAAAGGGTCAAGTAACATTCCAAGATCACTCAACTAAATCACACAGCTTGGATTTAAAAATCAGGACTTTTAATTAATTCTGATCCAAATCCCAAAAGAATTTGGTGGTGGGTGGGAAGTAGTAGAACTTGTAAAAATAATACTAGTGTTGAGTTTGGAGAATAAAGGTTGGCAGTAACAAGAAAAAAATAATATAGAATCAGGATTTTTCGAATCAAAACGGTTTCTTTGTGCATTTCTTATTCTCACTTTTCTATGTTTAATTCTGATAAGATCTAATTCTGAACAACTTCTCATAGGCTTTGATAGTTTTATTAATACTTTTTTGAAATTCGGTGTTAGCCAGAACCCTTTAATGTTTGCACATCTTGATCTCATCCATTATATGCTGATTTTCTAGTTTCACCCTCAGAAGCCAGTCTTATCCCGCAATCCATGAGGACTAGAGCTGAGATAGCCAACCAGAAGTATCACAATATTTGAAGTATCACAATAAAAAATGAGAGAGGTACATTTCATCAGGCTTTGTCCTCAGTTGCCTAAGTACATGGCCATTAAACAAGTGATCTTGTCTGTAACCTGGTAGGTGGCCCTGGTGGGCAGTCGTAATCAGCTTAAATGACTGGGCTTTGAACGTGTCAAATAATTTTTTTAAGTCACTTTCTGTTCAGAGACAGGTTGCTAGTCTGAATGTCAGAGGCTCAGCAGGGACCCCGCAGTACACAGAGATCAGCGCGAGCGGGCTGACTGGCCAAAGTCTGAGAAGCCTCTGGAAGTAGCATCTACCGTGGTGAATGCCCTGTTGTTCAGAGTCTGGTCCTTCACTTTGAGAAGCCTGAAATAGCTGCATTTTCCTTTCTTTCTTTCTTCGTTTTCTTCCCTCCTTCCTTCCTCCTTCCCTTTTCCTTTTCCTTTTCTTCTTTCATGACAAGTACTTTCACCTGTAAGAGATAGGCAGCGCTGGGCAGAACACGTCAAATAAAGTAGACCTTCTCCCACCCCAAGCCTGCCTCTGTCAGTACACTCTCAGGGCAGCCCTGTCTCTTGAGGGAACTATTTACACACTGCACGGTCTGTGCTGCCATGTGGGGCAGCTGCAAAGGTGGCTCTTTTCTAACTGACCACAAGCTTTAATGCGTGTCCCTTAGAACCCTTTTGAAGGGGGGCAGCAGCAGCTGTATACAAATGACTCTGGGCTCGATACTAGTGCTGAGGGTGACCTATGTATGAAGCAAGTGACCTTTGCTGATTTCAGTCATTAAGGAAATGAGCGTCTATACCATGCTGAGATTCCACTCATGCCCAGTAGAATCAGAAAGCCCACAGAAACAAGTGTTAGCAGCACAGCAGAGAAATTGGAGCGCTCATACGTGCTGGTGGAAGGAAATAGAAAATGGTGCAGGGTCTTTGGAAAAGTTCAGCAATTTTCAAAATGTTAAAGTTACTATATGGTTCTGGCAATGGCTGCACTCCAGTCTTCTACATAAGAAGACTGAAAACATGTCCAAGAAAACGTGTGTACACAAGGGGTCATAACAACATTATTCATTATGGCCAAAGAGCAGAAACAACTCAAATGTCCCTCAAAGGTCCATCAACTGAGAAATGGGTAATTAAAATGTGGTATTTTACAGTGGACTACTATTTGGCAATAAAAAGGAATAAAGTGCCAGCACATGCTAAAACTTACAGTTGAACCTCAAAAAATTATGCCCAGTGAAAGAAATCATTCAAAAGAACACATATTGTATGAGTCCATTTATATGAAATATCCACTTTGGGCAAAGCTATAGACAGAAAGTAGATTAGTGATTGCCAAACACTAGGGTGTGAGCACAGGTTAGGCAGAAATGGGGAGTGGCTACAACAGGCATAGGGATTTCTTTGGGTGATGGGGGGTGGGATTTCCTACTAGGTGGGGGTGATAGGTGTATGACATTGACTTGTACACTTTAAATGGCTGAGTTCTACCATATGTGGTTATATCTCAAACTATTAAATATTTGGCAGAAAATATTAGACTATCTTTTCAAAAGTTAATGTAAACAGTGCCTTGTAAGCTCTTAGTCTGCACACTCTGACCCTTCCACAGCTCTCAAAAGTGCCCCAATGGCAGCCATGGTCAAGGAGAGGAGGGGAGAGAGAAAGGTGGTGGTATTTGCAAATATGGATTGCTTTTAGTTTTAGGATCATCTGAGGAAACCTCTAAAAATAGGCTTTTTAATAGAGCTGTGTTTGTTTTCTTCCTAAAGTATTTACTGAACATGAGTAAAAGGGAAAGAAATGTGAAATTATTTACTGGTAGTATAGGGATTCATACCTTCACATCAGATACAAATTGAAGGCTACAGAAAGCCTGAGTTGTGAATTTTAAAAAGTTCTCAGTATATTCTTTTTCATAAGTTTGTGACAGTTGCCTTCATCTTCCTAGAATAGTGTTTTCTTAGTAGAGCTCAGTAGATGCTTATTAAAATGAAATGTACAGCCGAATGGTGTCCAAATGTTAAGGAATTTAATACGAAAGGCAGTCCCTCAAGTATATCATTTGGACTTCATGTGAAGAACTCTGTGGGATGAGAAAAAGTACAAACAAATAGGGCAATGGGGAGGGGATAAAGTAGGCGTTTTTACCTATGTTTATGGCAGTGGCTACACTATGTATGAAGCAAGTTTCATATAACAGAGGAGTCCTATCAAAGAGAAGTGAATCATTGGCTACGTTTTTTTTTTCAAGTGATTTATAGTTTATTCATTTAAATTCTCTTTCATAATATTGGATTCTCTCTAATGTGCTTTCCTTTATGGGTTTCTTACACTAAACTTATATAGACTATCTTAAAAGTTGACTTTGAGGGCCATGTTCATTGTAATTATTTTCGTTCTCAAACCCATTTCTCATTTTGGTACAGATATAGAAAAATCCCACTTCACTCGAGATCCATCACAGCTGAAAGGCATCCTTATTCGAGCATCATTGAAGAAAAGCACAATGGGATTTGGCTTTACCATTATTGGTGGAGACAGGCCTGATGAGTTCCTACAAGTGAAAAATGTACTGAAAGATGGTCCTGCAGCTCAAGACGGCAAAATTGCACCAGGTAGCAAATTTTTCAGAATTATTTGAAGAGTAATGACTGCCAATAAAAACTATGGTGAAAAGGTCTTGTTTATACATATATTTATAAAACTTACATATAATAAATATATTTTATGTATGTTATAACTATGTATGTGTGTGAATATATAAATATACACACACGCGTGCGCGCACACACACATATATATGTATATATTAGAGAGAGAACTCAATTATACAAAGGGGAGGGAAGATTTCTGTATTAAAATAGTTTTTCCTCTAAATTAAGTGCTTACTAATTTTGAGGGAGGGCCATTTTTACAAGTAAGTCCAGACTTGGAAAAACATATTAAGTGTCTTAATATTTTGAGTAATTTGTATCACCTGGAGATAGCTTTGTGCTAAGATAAAGCTTTATTAATCATCTCAGAAAACTAGTTGTTTTTCTTTGATGATGTAGGGTACTTTTGGAACTCTAATATTTACCTGTAATCTTTTGGAAAAATGATCCACTGTGATGTGTATAGTGATATGGGGCAAATGATGTCCCACAGAGTTTCCCGGGTTTGGTTTGGTTTGGTTTTTGCTTCCTTAGTCCTCCTGGTTGTTAGTAAAATTAAACTCCTTTGTTAAGAACTATAGACATGAAATTACTGTTTTTACAGAGTTGTATAAATTGTCTTTTATATAGTTTTCCCAAAGTCTTTACTTGGTAATTGTTAGGTATTTTTATATGGCTGACAGTTCTTATGACTGAGGAGGTTAGAAGAAGTTCAAGACCAGGTACAATTGTGGGGGGAGGTTTAAGCACTTTTTTTCCAGAAAGATTTTACTGTGCCACTGAGGTTGCTTCTTGCACCGTTTGCTGGACTTTTCTGATATTTCATATACCATTCATGTAAATCCCTCATTTGGACAGTTCATTTCTCACAGTACTTTTGAGGCATATATCAACTTACTTTCAACTAGGATATGGCATCTCTCATATTATACTTTCCCATTTAAGTGACAGAGACTTAAAACAAGAAAACTTAAAATAACCAAAAGTTATATTTATAAGGAAAACTATTTTCACTCTTCCTTATTTACGAGAGTAACAAACTCTAGAGATTAAAATTAATAGTAAAACATTTTAAGCTCTCAGTCTTGACTTTTTTTTAACATTTTGTCCATAACACACGTTCTTTAACTGTTGTATATGCTGTTTCATAATGCAGATGTAGGTATGTCTACACCTGGTGTCTAATTTGCAGAGCAGTACAATACTTCTGTGAACATTCTGGAAACTTTTACCAGGGGAGGAAAAGTCAGAACTTTGTTTCTTATTAGTCTAATTCTTTCTGTGCCTTCACAGACTATGAAACAAATTTTTGCACACTCGCAATTATTTTTAAACACCATTTGTGTTGATTTTTCAAAGTCTGTATGCAATCAGAACAAATCAAAGCACCTTTACTTGGCAATAGCCTTTTAAGTAATCATATTCAAATAAAAACAGCAAATGGATGAGACATTAGAGGACAGATTTTAAAAGTTAAGGCTGCGATAAAAAACACTCCCCACCCATGTATGTCAGGTAACAGTGATTCCGCAACAAAGTGGTCGGAATGATGCAAATCAGGAAAAAGCAAGACCTTACTTTTACAACAATTAGTTGAGCTGACTTTTCAGTGTCTTAAATAACGCTCTTTGCTTGTGCTGAATCTCATCGCATGTCTCTCCTTTTGAAATGTGAGTACGATAAATTGAAAATCTCTGTAAAAAGAAGGGATGCTAAAGGAAATACATTCATAACTTCACATTATTTTCCTCTTCGGCCGTACATTTTTCAAACTTAGAATGAATGTTTAACTACCTTGTAACTAATGGCCTCTTAAAATGAAGAAATAAGATGGTATTTAAAGATTGCCCGTTTGTATGAGTAGCTGATGGAGTGAGTGATTTGCTCCTTTTCTATGTACCGAGTATCTACTCCATGCCTAGCTTTGTGTGGCTGCTTAGGCACGACTCAGAGGACACACCAACAATGACAGTGTGAATTTACAGTTATTTTTCAGATGATTCCCTTGATCTTGAGGTCATAACTCTCTGCTGCAAAGATAATTAAGGTTTCATACATTTATATTCTTCTTCCAGAAGAACCACAAAAGGGAGAATGACGTGTCTGTGTTCAAAACCTGTCTCTTCAGCAGCTAATGAATAGTAAGAGGATTCCAGAATTCAGATTTAGATGATGACGCTATTTTTGTTTCTCCCCCAATGGAAAATTAACTTACTTCAATGGTTTTAATGTTTTGAACTTGGTTGTGTCCTAACAGGTGATGTTATTGTGGACATCAATGGCAACTGTGTCCTCGGTCACACCCATGCAGACGTTGTCCAGATGTTCCAGTTGGTGCCTGTCAGTCAGTATGTAAGCCTCACTCTGTGTCGTGGCTATCCACTCCCTGATGACCATGAAGATCCTGTTGTGGACATCGTTGCTGCTACGCCTGTCATCAATGGACAGTCACTGACCAAGGGAGAGACTGGCGTGAGCACTCAGGACTGTAAGTCAGGAGCAGTGGCTCTGGACCAGAATGGAAAACCGGGACACGCCTTGATCAGTGACCGTCTCAATGGACCGTCAGATCCGAGTGAGCAGAGAGCATCGATGGCATCATCGGGCAGCTCCCAGCCGGAACTAGTGACTATCCCTCTGATTAAGGGCCCTAAAGGCTTTGGGTTTGCAATTGCTGACAGCCCAACGGGACAGAAGGTCAAAATGATATTGGATAGTCAGTGGTGTCAAGGCCTACAGAAGGGGGATATAATTAAGGAGATTTACCATCAAAATGTGCAGAATCTAACACATCTCCAAGTGGTAGAGGTGCTAAAGCAGTTTCCAGTAGGTGCAGACGTACCATTGCTTATCTTAAGAGGAGGTGAGTAAAAGCACAAGGAAAACTCTTCGTCGTTTATGCATTTATATCTGTTAATTGTCCTTCCTTCCAGGGCAGAATCCCTCTTTTCCATGAAGACTGAATTGGTAATTAGCGTGCATTTTCCTTAAGGTTCTGTCTGACTGCTTCCATAAGCAATATCTTCTGCAGCAGTTTTTCTAGTTATTAGTGGTCTCATCCGTGTCCATTATGGATTTCCTTCCCTCCATATTCTCTTTAAAATCTGATTTACAGCTTTAGCGATTAGAGAGAGTCGCAGCATTGTGCTGCTTCAAATGAAATAGACCCTCTTCATTTCATTTTCTCTGTTGATGACAGTAATAGAAATTGACACTTTCAACCGGTGACACTTCATCCAGACCTCTGTAATGTACCAAAGGTGTTTTGAAAGAGCTAGCATGTGAATAAGCAAAATGTTGGATGGTGTGTTAATCTCTTCTGTAAAAGCAATCGTGATAGCTGGTGCTCATAAGGCTTTTATCTTAAGCTTTAGTGTCTGTCCATAAATGTTAATTAAATCCCACAGTACTCATGTGAGAGAAATATAATTTTTTATTTTCAAGGTCATCAGCTGACTTGAACTGCTCGCAGACATAAATCCAGCTCTGAGGACTAATCTAAAGTTGGCTTTTGATGGGCTTTCGTAAATCCATACTGATGAATGACTAGTATTTTAAAGAATAAAATTTAGCCCTTCACACTTCTCTCTCTGGCTTTTAGTTTTCATTTTTGAGGCAAATGAGCAGTTGGACTTCATTGGGATGTTGTTCATTATTCTCATTTCTTTGAGCTATTTTTGCTTCTTCTCTGGGCAGTATGGTAGAATGCGCTCAGAGCAGGGGGAGGATGGCTTTGTGAGAGGCATCTCTCTCACAAGAGAGTGAGCAGGGGGAGGATGCTGGAGAGTTAGCCAGGGGTCCAACGAACCCCTGTTTGGTGTCAGACAGGACTGGTATCAGTTTCCACCCTTGCTACCTGTCGGTTCTAGGGTATAAGGAAATAATATAATCTCCTCGAGTCTTTGCTTACCTGATCTATAGTAACATTTATGCCTTAGGATTGTCATAAAAGTGAAATGAGATAATATATGTTCGATGCCTCGTACATAGGGGGTGTTGGTCATACAATTTACTAGCCCACTAAAAGTTGAAGCTAGTTTTATCGTAAACATGAGCAGTGCTTGTGAACTGGGAATGCTTCCTCTGTTTTTAAAATCTGGCTCATTTTTTTTTAAGGTCCTCCTTCACCAACTAAAACTGCCAAAATGGTGAGTATACAGTGGTCTTCAAACACTTCTTTCCAACACAGCAAGAGAGGTGCCGCGTTCCCTCCATAAGAGCATCCCTCTGTGGTGGTGACTATCGACTGGGAGAATTGAGGACGCATTCTGCCCTGGGCTTGTATCAAAAGCTCTGGGGAAGCGTGTGAGTTAGAGAGGAGGTGTGCTTTCCTGGTTAAGAATTTCTGTTGAAGGAATACTCGAGGTCCATTGTCCCAATAGCCCTGTCCTCTAAATGGGAAAACATGAACACCCTGAAGTGCCCCCTTGGGGTCTCTTTGCCTCTCAGAGGAGCAAGGGTAAGAAGTAGCTGAATATTAGGGCAGATCGTAGAAACTGGTGCATCTTCTCCCTGATGCCCAAAGGAAGTGGGAGGCTCATATCATTTCATGGAGACTGTAAACACCCGCACTTAGAGAACCTTCTTACAATGGACTAAACAAGACTTTCTAGAGTAATTGTGGCTTCAGTGCTCCATCTGCGTGTTATCAAAGTGATAGGCTGTCAGACTTGAAACTGCATTTTCTTTGGCATTCTTCTGAATAATTGAGTAGCCCGTTTCAGGACCTGTGTCACAAATAAAACCTAAAAAAAAAAGGGTATAGCAAACAGTGCCAGGAAAGAAAATGTGCTAGGTGCAGATGCGTAGCTGTCAGAATACCCACATTTCTATGGGCATGAATGTAAAGACAATTCTGTGTAGTATCCTGACTTAGTTCTAGTTTGCTTGATTGGGAGTCCATCATCTCCCAACTGAAAGACAGTCCTCCAGAACCGTAAACCATAGCCTTGAAGGAAAGACCGTCAGACAGAAAATGTATTCATTCTTTGTAGTCCACCGAATAGGACCCGCTACGTATTTGCTGTTTTATGGATGAAAAGGAAAGAAACACTCTGCATTTTTATGGACTGTACCACTTACAGCCAGTGTGGACAGGAATGCATTCTGCCTGCCTGGTTAAAATTGCACTGCATTTTCCTACGTTTCTCTAGTTCCTCTAGTCATTGTTTTTAACTTCTGTGCTACCAGCCTGTTTCATAATAGATGCCACCACAGCCGAGGTGACCCTGATGCTTTCTAACTGATGACCTTGCTCTGCTCTGCCAGACTTCTGGGACGTGGTGGGGAGGGAGGGAAGGAGGCCGGGCCAGCCACCCGACCGAGTCTGGGTCAGTGAGGGATGCCCCTGGGACGGCACGTGTAGGACTGCCCTCCCCCCACTCCCTGATAAGCTGTATCCTTGGCAGCATTAGTTTTTCACAGACATCTATAATCACTGCCCACTGCCCCCCACCAGGTAGAATTCAGAATAACCAGGTGTTCTCAAAACCACATTTATTTTCTTTGGCTATTTATTGGATCTCATTTGAAAATTTTTATTGAATCATTCTGCCTGGCTGTTATGCTGGGGAGGTTTTACCAGACTGGGAGAAATAGAAAAGCGTGCACCTGTTTGTCCTTGCTGGATTGCAGGCATGGCCCGTGTCTCCTGCATGTATTTGAACCAGGCGCACAGGGTGTTCATAGTGTCCTCTTTGTAACCTAAGTTACAGTTAATGCTTCCTATTCCATTTTCCTAGAAAGAAAGAATGGTGTCCCAGACATCTTCACGGGGAGTTAAATTGAGGGAGTGGGACAGTGGGGCCGATCCAGACCTTCAGGAAGGTCTTCCCTGGGGGCCTCCCTCTCGCCCATCAGTGCCACCTTGTGTCCCTGTGTTCATCTTCTCCTCAAAGCCAGTCCGTGTCTTGGTGGTGGAGAAAAGGGCAAGGTCGTGTCAACACAGGGCTAATGCGGGCCCTTCCGTTGACATCATTAAACACTTTTCCTAATTTAAGTAAAATATGTTTTAACCAAGTACGCATGGCTTTGGAGGTGAATTCTTACAAGACTACAAATTTGCTGTGGCTTTGACCCTGCCACCTATTCACCTATAATCAGTCGACACACCTGGTTCACACGCTAGTTTGATGAACTAATCAACCATCTGGTTTTAAAACATTACTAAGAAAGGCCCTTTTTCATTTCAGAAAACAGATAAGAAGGAGAATTCAGGAAGTTTGGAGGCCATAAATGAGCCCATTCCCCAGCCTATGCCTTTTCCACCCAGCATTATCAGGTCAGGATCCCCGAAATTGGATCCTTCTGAGGTCTACCTGAAATCTAAGACCTTATATGAAGATAAACGTAAGTAGTTGTGGAATATTTCAGGAGAGCATGCGACAAAATTTCTTTAAAAACTGGGACCTTGCCATCTTTCAAAACCATACTGAAAAGTTATAACTTCATCCCTATGTTCACATGACTCTGGGCTGCTTCCATTTATATTCAACATTCACTCATTCACTTTTTTTCAAAACCAGGAATTAAGTGCCTACAATCTACCTCACACATAGTAGGTGATGGGAATACAGAGATAAACAGGTCCCTAGGCTCCGCACCCCAGGACGATAATTAAACCTAAATGGAAAATAAATGAGTACAAAGAAACCTCACACAGATCCAGAGAAGGAAGCCGCCCACTTTACCGCTGTGGGTAGCAGGAGGCGTCAGATACTGCTTCACGTAGGAAGTTAAGCCTGAAGCAAGTCTTCAAAGACCAAGAGAGAGGTGTTCATGAGGCAGGTGAAAAAGGAGCGGAAGCAGGAGTGACTTTTGCACGTTGACCTTGCTTGGCCCGGGTCCTGGGTTGGCTGGGTGCAGGAAAAGGCCTGGCAGGGTGGAGTCACTGTTCTGAGGAAGCTGGAGTCCTTAGAGAGCCTCGGAAGGGTTTCACTGGAGGGTCGGCATGGGCTTGTGTTTCAAAGGGATCTTCCAGGCGGGAGGGTAAGGGGTGGGGAGTCGGGGCCTGGGCAGCCTGAGGAGGAAACCAGGGCGGTCAAGGTCAGAGGGACCCACAGAGAGAGTGTGTGAGGCAGAGGTTCATTTTTGCGTGGATTTACTTAAAATGACGAATCTTTTCCAAAGTAGAATTGCAGATTAGGTAGGTTTAATTTGTTAAATTTGTTTTTAGGAAACCGATCTATATCTGCCTTGGAAATGAGGTGGAAATATCCTATATAGTTGACTTCATAATTATTTAACCAACTGCAGATCTTTATCCTGAGTAAGCCCAGGCCATATTTAGAAAGATGAAAACCAGATGTAAGCACAGCACAGCACAGCAAAGCAGTAATTTAAATTAATATAACTATGGAGAATCCCTTCCTTCTGACTTCCCATTCATAGCCTGATATATTCTTAGTATTAATATGAACTACTCAGTCCCTTTGGGCTTCCCGTGTAAAGTAACTGAGTTGGGCTCAAGAGTCTTCTATCTCTAAACTTCTGTAATCCTAATAGGAATTATTTCTCTAAAGAGACTGCTTCTAAGGAACATTATCAAGATTTACCCCATGTGGTATCTTTGTGTTTATATAGTTCTCCGACATGTTTCTAGCAAATGCTTCTCACTTTGCGAGTAACACTAATATTTTCTTGAAGATGAAATTATTTTAGTCATGAAGTAGTGGTGAATGGAACCTGCCCTTTGGGGGCAGAATAGTGTGGGTTAAGAGCCAGGACCCTAGAAATCAAGCTAAGTTGAAATCTCAGCTGTGCCATCTACTTGCTGTCTGACACTGGGCCACGTACCTAGGCCTCAGTTTTCCCAGCCAGAAAATGGGGCTCATAATAGGTATTAGCAGTCATTTTCTTTTAAAATTACAGCATTTGACACAGTTAGGCTAAGTGAGTATGGAATGCTTTTCTGAAACAAAGGTATGAGTTCAGGAGTAGAATTAAGGCATTTTATGGGCTGTCTTTTCATAGGATTTGTCCAGATACTAATTTAGATAATTTGCACCTATCAGATGTCCTACTGAAATTGGATGATTCTGAATTTAATATCATAACATTGATTTGAAGGCATTAGGACTTAATGGACATGGAAGGAGGAATAAATATTTCCAAGCAATCTCGATGCACAGTTTTGGTTACAGCTGGAAAAAAAATACTTAGGATTGAATTTTTCTGCAATAGTGATATGCTCTTGTGTAAGTTTTCACATACCAGAAAGTTCTGAGGTTATAGTTTATTGAACTCTATCATATTATCCTACTGCATAATTGCATTGTTTTATTTTTAACCTTTTTAAAATAAATCAAAGTATTTTATTTTCTTTGTTTATTTTTATTATTTTCTGATTTTCCTTAGCACCAAACACCAAAGACTTGGATGTTTTTCTTCGGAAGCAGGAGTCCGGGTTTGGCTTCCGGGTACTGGGAGGAGAAGGGCCAGACCAGTCTGTAAGTTCAGATGCCTCGGAATTTGCCGTTCCCGTGAACCTTTAAGTGGCTGTTTGGAAGGATGTAGGGTTTTTGTTTCATTTGATTTTTTTAAAATAAGATTTTGTTTTCTCTAACCATTTCATTAATGAGAGGGAGAACTGCACTTTTCCTTTTTTTTTTTAATGTTTTATTTATTTCTGAGAGAGGGAGAGAGAGAGAGAGAGAAAGAGACAGCGTGAGCAGGGGAGGGTCAGAGAGAGAGGGAGACACAGAATTGGAAGCAGGCTCCAGGCTCTGAGCCTAGCCGTCAGCACAGAGCCCGAAGCAGGGCTCGAACCCATGAACCGTGAGATCACGACCTGAGCCCAAGTCGGATGCTTAACCGACTGAGCCACCCAGGCGCCCCAGAGCTGCACTTTTCTAAGTGTCGCCGTTTCTTGGGGACCTTGGTGTGGCCTAGGCAAGAACTGAATATGTCAGCTGTGAATTGGGCAGTAATTAATTTCTTTATTTCACGATGGGCTACAGTTCATTATTTTCCATTTTTATGTCCCACTGCCTTTGTTAGACAAGGGTTAAGACCTTTGCCTTCTCTCAGAAACCTATCATCGAGCATCCTGTTTGCCAGTCTGTCTGTCCTTTGAATGAATGTTCTGTAAACGTTTGGCATCACACCATGTCACCTATCCTCATTAGTGGGTTGACATTTTCACACTCAGTACGTTGTGTTCCATTCCATCTGCCCTACCTCTAAAACTAGGGAAATATAAAATAAGTCGTGTTTCTGTCCAGAAAGCCTACGGGTTATGTTTCTAAAGCATTTAAAATCTGGAACTGTAGACAGGATTCTCACCTAAAGTTTAGAGAACAAATGTAATGGGTTCTGTTTTTAAGTTTGGCCCTTAGTTTGAATAACAAAGAAGTAATATACTTGTGGAGTTTAAGAACATATTTATGGTTTTTCAGTATAATGTAAGGAAGACATTCTTACTGTGCTTGGAAGTTAGGTGAGAAACAATAATCATTTAAAACGACATGCTTCTTTCCATTTCTGGATAGAACATTTGATTTATGTATTTTAAATGTGTTCTAATTAGTCATGTTGGTTGTAGTGAAAACAATCACCGGGGCCAAATAAAGTTTAAGGCAGGGCGACCTATATAGGCCAGATATACGATACCTTGATCGTTCTTGGTGGAAGATGTGATTTGGTTTTAATGGTTCCTATTTCGCTAATACCCACAGAGTTGATTAAGACGTTTTAAGAATTTGTCTCAAACAAAGTGGGAGAAATCCTCTTAAATGGCAGGTGTTAGCAGCTCTGACACTAGCCCAAACATTCAGGACTCTAATTGCTGGCAAGCAAAATAAACCAGATCTGTTTACCTAGATAGAAGTGGACCTCAGACCACTCTGCCCCCTAAGATATTTACTGCTTTGAGATTTAGGAATAAGAAATGTTTCTCGGGACTCTTGAATGCTGACAAAAACTGAGGACTGATGGATGTGGGGGGGAGGAGGGATGGGCATGGAGGAGGGCACTTGTGGGGATGAGCATTGAGTGTTATGTGTTAACTAATTTGACAATAAACTATTAAAAAAAAAAACTGAAATCATCCTATTTCACACGGAAAAAAAAAAATGTTTCTCGGTTGTATATACTGAATTTGTACTGATCGCCATACGTGATGGGAATATCTTAAGAATGCTCCCAGTTGCTGTGAACAGCGTGTAGAAAATCTTTGCTGATGACATTCAATATCCTTTTTTTTTTTTTCTTACTTTTTAGTAGCTAGTCCACAGGACTGCATTTTCTGAGTTTAATGTATTTGTTTTATTGTACTGAAGGAAGTGGTACTTTGTAAGTTATTAAACAGCTTTGCATTTTCTGTCTTGTTTGTATTCGACCCCAAAGATCCAGAAGGGACAATGTAGTGTGGTTGTCTTAAGTGCCGTTTTGGCGAATGGTCACTTTCTAAGATATCCCCCTTCTAAAATGTTCATAGTTGAACTGCAAAAATGTGTTGGTTTGCAGACTACTGAGTCAGGAAGTCCTTAACTTAGCAGTTGAGGATCGTAGGAGCTCTTCATTGCCCATAGACCTACACTTTGTTATCTTATCAGATATACATTGGGGCCATCATTCCTCTGGGCGCAGCTGAGAAAGACGGCAGGCTCCGTGCAGCCGATGAGCTGATGTGCATTGATGGGATTCCTGTGAAAGGGAAGTCACACAAACAAGTCTTGGACCTCATGACAACAGCTGCTCGAAATGGCCACGTGCTATTAACTGTCCGAAGAAAGATCTTCTGTGGTGGTGCGTGAACCTGTTCCTCCTCTGACAGGTTAAAAATGAAACAAAGGGACGTAGTCCACTTCCTGAACGGTTTTGCAGGTTACTTTATTAGGTGTAAGAGTGTATGAGATAATCCACTGGGTATGATCCAGGGCCTCGCTGTGGAAGGCCCTGTAAGGTCAGAAGGATCCAGAAATAATACTCCTATCAAAAAACAAATAAATTTTGGGCTTCTCTATGGAGATTATGTTAATGTATTGACAGATTTTGCCAATGTGGTATTGTAGATGAGAGTACCAGGTTAAATCTGTTTTCTTAGATCCAGTTTTTTAGTCAAACCAAGATATCCCATTAGCTGATATCAAAAGATTTGGGGTCCTGATGAATTGTTAAATATTCAAAGAGGATAGAATGCTTCTATTGAGAAGTTTTAATATAGTGTAATTTAACATTAAAAAAGAACATTTTATTGAGTGCTTACTATGTCTCAGACCTATGGATTCTTTTTTGTTTAGTCTTTACAACAGTGTGATGTAAATACCATCATGATCCAGTGTTAAAATTACCCACAGAAAGGTTGGGAGACAGAGCTGGTTAGTAGTTGGGCCAGGATTAAAACAGGGAGTTTAACTATAGAGCCTGGGGTCTGAACCATTGTAGTGGGCTGTTAAGTGCATTTTTCTCATCAATAGCTTTGTGAATACCACAGCAGAATTTTTCAAAGTGAATTCTTGCCACTTTTTAAAAATTTTAAAAGACAGCCCTGTAGCACAAGAAGTAAGCCTCACAGAGGTAGGGACATTTATCCGTTTAGTTAACTGCTATGTCCCCAGCACATACAAGAGTGCCTTCCCGACACAGTAGACATCAGTGAACCTTTGTTGACTTGATGAATATTTGCTTTACTCTTAAAAATGAGGTGCTGTGTTTTGATTGCAACATCCAAGGTAAAGGCCTGTTTTCATAAGCATCGGGCTTTCAGAGATGCATGCAGGTTAGAACTTAACTACATGTAGTAAACAACATGATGCTATACGAGAGGTTGGCTGTGTCCTGGAAAAGCATCATGAAGAAGTTTCCCAGTGGCTTGATATTACTGGAGGCGTTTCACCAATTCATTGTAACCATACATTATACCAAAAAAAAAAAAAAAACCCCAAAAATGAACCAAAAGCCCTGTATGTTTCATTAATGATTGGATGTTGGTGGCACTTTGTTGACATTCTAGAACGTAATCTCTGAATCCTGTAGATTTTGAGCTAAAGGAGCCCTTATAAATAGGCATTCCGCAATGGCAGTGTGTTTTAGTGGTTGTTAATGATGGTTTGTATAGAATAATGGCACAGAGTTTGCCTTTTTTTTTTTTTAAATGTTTTATTTATTTCTAGGAGAGAGAGAGAGTGAGACAGCGTGAGCAGGGGAGGGTCAGAGAGAGAGGGAGTCACAGACTGAAACAGGCTCCAGGCTCTGAGCTGGCAGTCAGCACAGAGCCCGACACGGGGCTCGAACCCACAAACCGCAAGATCATGACCCAAGCGAAAGTCGGACGCTCAACCGACTAAGCCACCCAGGCGCCCCATTTTTTTTTTTTTTTTTTAAATCAGGACTCACTTATGTCATTCTTTCTTGAATTCTGATGTCGTAATTGAGGAGACAAAAAAGTGTAATTAACTCTCCATTTGCTGGAGAGTTCTGTGACCTATTCTCTGCCTAGGAGAATGGGCTGTTCTTATGGACAGACTGTTCTCTGCTGGATAGGTGAGGGCAGGGCTGCTGGTGGTTAGCGCACCTGATCTCGTCCATCAGGAAATTGCAGTTGGAGACACATTGCATAAGACAAATCCTATGTTGGCCGCAGAGTTCTCACCTAATAATGGGGGGGCACATCTGCCCTGAAGCACTGGCCTCCCCAACATCACGAGTGGTAACCACGGCACGAAGTCATACTTCCAGCTGATTTTAAAAGGGAGTTTACTGTGTTAGTTTTAACTTTGTTAAAATTACTGGTCCAAACCTTGCTGGAATGAAAACAGTTTCAAGAAGAATTGGTTTACCACGAACTTTGGTGGAAGCTTTGAAAAGCTTCCTTTACAGTGAGAAAACATCTAATTCTTCCAGGTTCACACTTAAAGAGTGTTGAGATGTCAGACCCAGATTACAGCCAGAGCTCACCTGGATGGGGGATTTGCTTTTCTAGCCTAGATGTTATTCGAAACTACGTTTTCCTGTGAGAGGCTTAACCCCACACACTTCAGCTGACAGAAGTTAGGATGTTCCAGAAGTAAGTGGTCTTGTTCCTTCTAGAGAAACAACCTGAGGACGACAGCTCGCAAGCCTTCCTTTCAGCACAGAACGGCTCTCCCCGCCTGACCCGAGCAGAGGCCCCAGCCAGGCCGGCCCCACAGGAGGCCTATGATGTGGTCTTGCACCGAAAGGAGAATGAAGGATTTGGCTTCGTCATCCTCACCTCCAAAAGCAAGCCGCCTCCAGGAGGTAAGGGCGCCGCCACCCCTCATCCCCTCCCTTTGACTGCAGTTCGAGTCTCCCGGTGGGCTTTGTGGAGCTAATTGGGAATCATGTATGAACTGCCTTAGAGACTTACCTTTCTAAGAACGATGAATATTTTATTCTCATCACCGGCTAATTCGAACCAAACTTCTGGGCTTCGGGTTTATCTGTCATCTCAGATTACATAAAATAAATCTTAGCAATACTTTTCACCAAGATTATATTGTGGCAGTGTATAAGGGCGTGCCCTGACAGATTCAGTGAAAGGACAATGCCGAGTTTTTATTTCAAATAAGGAGGCGTAGGGTTTTTTTAAATCAGGAGAAACTGTGTTTGCAGAAATGAATTAAATGCTAGAAGCAGTTGCGAAGAAGCAAAATAGATTAATAGAGGAATCTTGACCCAAATATGTCTTGAATAGTCCTTTTGTATTATTTAATAACAATGGCCGTGTTCCAGCTGTAAAGGAACCTTCTTGAGTGACAGGAGGCACGCCTATCTTTTGTATATGCTTCACTGAAAAGTAAAAATTTTGTCAGAACTTAAAAAATCAATCTAAATATTCCAAGCCCCGTTTAGCAGAATACTGTCCTCTGGGAAGGGTGCATATGTGTGCTCACTCCTTCAACAAAGGAGGAATTACCTCTACTGTGCTCAGGGCCGTTATGATTCAGCACATTAAATACTGTTCATAAGAAGTAATCATCTTTAAATACCATTAGAGGATCCAAATGGATATAAGGTGAGAACCAGAAAATTGAGATTTTTTTTTCTATCAGACTTGTCTGGTAACTTTATTTTTCCAAGTCAAATGATAAGTCTTACATCTCAACACTTTTTAAGTGTGAACCTGGAAGAGTTAGATGTTTTCTCACTGTAAAGGGAAATGTGCCCCTGCCTCTGACCAGTGGATTTGATTATTTCTTGAGCAGTGAGATCCTCTTGGGACAGACAGCCACTAAAATCTTCAGAGAAGAAGAAAGCCCTTTCCAGGAGTGTTGTGAGCCAAGCCCATGTGCAAAAATTCTTGCTAAAATTAATGCAAGTGTGTAAAGGAAGAAGATTCTGTGACACGGATGAGTTATTACTAGAGTGTCAGGTCACTGCTCACTGATACTAGTTTCCATTTTCCAAAAGCAGTTGCTATGGCAACCCTCGGAACTGTCACTGATGCTGTGAGGATGATTATGTGGCCTGTGTTAGAAAAATGAAAGAAAGAAGATTTGGGGAGGGGGGCGGTGGTTATGTTGTATCACTGGAAGCCAGTATTTCCCTAACCAAGTAACCATTTCTGAGAACCATATTCTTATTCTAATGCCATACAGTAATCCCACGCATTCAGATGAACAAAAATAGTGCAAGATTACCGCTCGGGGTCACAGATGCTAACCGCTTTTTCTACTGAACCTGCTCCGTCTCTAGGACTGCAGAAATTAGGGGGGAGCCTAGTGTCCACCATAAAACAGCAATGCAGAGGAAATCAGTAAAATAAGCTGCATTATTCAAATGTGTCTCACATTTTTGTTTATATTTAAAATGTATATTGCATTTTAATGTGTGGTAAGTAATTCCTTTTCCTTGTGTATATATGTTTACATTTAAAATTTTCAGATAGTTTTACACCTATTTGTTTTAGTTGTTTCTTACTGTCTTGACGGTTTTGTGTATCACAGATGTGAGATACTGTGTTAGTGTCGTTAAGTGTTGCGTTCTGTAATCAGACAAACTTAGATTCCGACTCCGAGGTGCCTTCTAATAGCTATCCGATCTTGAGCAAAGTACTTGCCCTCCAGGAGCTCCAATTTCTTCTGTTAAGATGAGGATGATGATAACACTTCCCGTCTCGTGGGAATTTGAGGACGAAAGAAGATGATGTGTGAGGCCCTTAGCCTGGACCTCCAAGAAATGTTAGATGCTGCTCCTGTGACCGTCGTGTTATTCATAAAATTGTAACTCTACTGTCTCTTGATTTTTTTTTAAGAAACTTTAAAAACTTCATCAATACTTGAGTAATGAGATGGGAACGAAAGCCCAATTAAAATGTAAGATTGAGGCAGCAGCTCATGTAGGAAATGAGTGTTTGCAGCTCATTAGTTATCAACCTGAATGGTAAATTGGGCTTCGGGTGTCCTTATATATAAAGTACTTGAGATGTTCAGTCATTGGCACAAAACCCGAATTGGTAATTTCACTGAAAGGCTAGTTAATAATCTCACAAAATGCCAAGCCCTGCAAGCATCCTTGTTGGAATCGCATTTGTCTCTTATCGATGGAAGGGGCCTGGGGGGAGGTTTGGGTGAGGACCTTTCACTCCCAAAGCCTGAGCAGCAGCCGCAGACTGCGTCCCAGAGAGCAAGGTGTGCTGAGGCCAGAGCTGGCACAGGGGGAAGGCAGGAACCTGTCAGAATAGAGCCTTCTTTATGGACCTTGTCTTAGTATGGGTTGGTATTCTGTTCACGATAGGTTATTTCTTCCTTCTGATTAAATGCATTTATTTTCTGGTGACATTTATCCTAAGTAGAGTACCCGGCCGCATTTCTGACACGTTACGAAAATCTGAGAATCTCTGCCGATGACTTTTCCGAAGATCAGGGATCCGGGTCTTGCACCCTTACTGCCCTGGACCCAGTTTGTATAAATGCTAAATGAGTTTCCAAGAAAAGACATCTATTTAAAATGAAAAGGACTTGGCTACTTTCTGCTTCACTGGTAGTTCACAGGTTTTAGTGTTTCCCTTTCTTATCATATACTTGTCAGTTCCGGTTGCAAAGGATTCTTTGAGAGAGGACATTTCCAGTTACTGTCCTTTCTTTTCCTGAAAGGAGTGTTTTAAGAGCACTAAAGTGATCCCAGCAGCTGGACAGGCCAGTGTGGGAGTCGGATTTAGGCCAGAGATGAATGAAGATGGATAAATTGGTCTTGACAAATTCCTATGGACTTTGTACACCAACAGATGCAGGGTAGGACTTAAGATGTGTACTCTGCGGGGCTACCTGGAAAATCTCCCAGTCACTTCGGAGAGTGTTCAGAGGTTACCAATTTAGTCTCTGCTATTTTTAACTGTTTTGATTGTTCTGCTGTAAATGCCAAGACTATAGCAATCCGACTGCTCTTCCCTTCCCTTGCCCAGATAACTAACCCTTCAGGAAATTCTGTACCAAGATTTGTCGATTCCCTTTAGCACATTGCTCACGTGATGAGAAAGGAACCACTGAGATTTCAGAGATTCATTCTGTTGGATGCTTTCCCAAGTCTGATCACCCCCCTTTCTGTGTGCCAAGGGGCTGAATGACTTTCTTCTCAGGGCGTCTAGAATGAACACTGTGTGTACAAGTAGATCTTTTCTTAGGAGGAAGATAACTGAGGTATTGAGTTAGAAGGTCAGCACAGGGCCACTGTCTGGTTCACTGAGCATTTCTGAAATGCCGACTGTGTTCTCAGTGAATTGCTCACACCGCCCAGCACAGGACATGGCCCAGAACGTGGCCCACGCTGCCCTGGTGCTTTTTTCTAATTACTTTGTTTCAAGGAAAATGGTACAAGTGCTTGATAATAATTCAGAGCTAAAAGGCACTTGCTTCCAACATCGCCTTCCTCTATTTGGGGATAAAATCTCTCACTGTATAACCCTAGAAGAGCTGAGGACAGACATGATGGCCAGGAGTAACTTCTAGCTCAGATGAAGGCCTGTTAAATGTCCCTACCATACACCTACCTATGACTCAGATTTTACTATGGAAATGAAACCTACTCAGAGCACCATTTTAAATATTAATTCTCCTTCTTCATCACAGTCTGTAGTCAGCGGGAGGCAAATGGCCGACAGGTTTACTGACCCTGGTGAGGAACTTCTCAAGGACCATGGATGGAACGTTTGTTTCTTAATACAAATGCCTCTTATGAAGAGGGGTGGAAAGTATTTTGACAGGATTTCCTGAATATCTGAGACTTGTTTTAAGCCCTAATATCAGCAAATTGTCTTAATCAGCTTGGAAAGCCTTCAGCATTATGAACTAATAGAACTGCCCAGCGTGTCTTTGCAAATGTCTTAGACTCTGCTTTGTACATTCAGGGTGGGATTTTACCCATGAGCCAAATAATCTTAACGTTAAACATTTCATGTTCTGATTCCCCTCCACTTTTCTAATTTAAAAAAAAAAAATCTAAGGGTATAAACAGAAAAAACTAATTTTGCTATTGAACCAAGGAGGATCCATTTTAACAGGCGGTCATGTCACGGTGCCTGGATTTCTGACCAGTAACTTCTGAGTCCTAAACTTGAATGTGAACTGCATTTATTCACATGGTTCCCTGTGGGAGTAAACGCCCCTTCCACAGAACCAAAGATGGTCTCACTGTGGCCATTTCTGAAATGGCCTCAATGGCCCATGCTAAGCAAGAAACATCAGATTAATGAGATAGGATCAGAAGTATCAGTGAGGTCAGCCTTTACAAAGGATTATTAGGACAGCAACAGGAAAACTGGAGAGAGGTTTATGGTGAGTGGCAAATAGCCAGAGGCCTATATGCTTGGACTGTAGCAATGTAAGAGTATCTGTGCATGTGGGCCAGAAGTGGAAGATGGTATGGAAATAGTTGCAGGTGCACAGGATGATTATTGATACTTTTTTGCTCTACTTTTAAAGAATGTGGTTGTTTAAAAATTTTTGTTTAATATTTATTTACTTTTGAGAGAGACAGAGACAGAATGCGAGCAGGGGAGAGGCACAGAGAGAGGGAGAAACAGAATCTGAAGCAGCTCCAGGCTCTGAGCTGTCAGCACAGAGCCTGACACGGGGCTTGAACCCACGAACCGTGAGATCGTGACCTGAGCCGAAGTTGGACGCTTCACTGACCGAGCCCCCCAGGCACTCCTTAAAGAATGCTTTTGATGCTAGTATGTTGCCTTTTTAATGAAGATGATAAATCCAACACGAAACTAATTGAAAAACCTGGGCACTTTTTCCCCACAGTAATTCCTCATAAAATTGGCCGAGTCATAGAAGGAAGTCCAGCCGACCGCTGTGGAAAACTGAAAATTGGAGATCACATCTCCGCGGTGAACGGGCAGTCCATTGTCGAACTATCTCACGATAACATCGTGCAGCTGATCAAAGATGCCGGTGTCACTGTCACACTAACAGTCGTTGCTGAGGAAGGTAAGGAACCAGTAAATTTGCTTCCGGAAAGTTCTCTGAGCAGCATGGAGCCTGCTGCTTCCAGTGCTGCCAGACTCACTGCCATGATAGGAGCATTTGTATACCCGGGAGTCTCCTATTTTGCCTCTCCCATTTAATGAATTTAAAGACAGTTTATTAAAAAGTTGTCAGGAGCTCAGGAAAAACAACCCAGCTAGTGAGCGGTGGCCAGAGAAGCAAGCGCCCAAAAGTGAGAGAGATCGGGAATGGTTTTCAGATCCTGTTTTCTTCAAATGATGTCTTAAGTTTCTTCTTGCTTGAGTGAGAGGAAATCCTCTGAAGATTCAAAGAAAGTCACTGTTGACACCAAGCCTTTCACGTGAGGCCTGTGCTGCCGGTCGCCTTTCCTCGGGGACCTGGCTTCATTCTGGGCAGCTGCTGTCTAAATGGGAAGCGGGGTCCGTAGAACGGCCAGTAAACAGGACATAAGATGCACTAAGTGTCTCCTCTTCCTTTAAAGCTGCCTTTTGGTCATTAACGTTCCTAGTTAGGAACCAGTTTGAATAGCACCACTTCACAGTCTTGGTCTGTGAGTCACAAGGTAACAGTTACGTAAGGTGCATCTTCTTCTTCCTGAGTTTGCAGAACTAACGGGGAGAAGCCCCAAGGAGCAGAATCATGAAGGGTTACTGTTTCACGTTAAAATCCCTAGTAGTGTAACATGTATCCGTGCCCTGCTGCCCCCCATGACCCTCCAACAGGGTCAGTTCGGGGTCTTGTCATTCTTGACTCTTCCGTTCTTCTCTCTTCCTGCTGCCCCACCCCCCGCCCCTAGCCCTCTGAACGTTCTTTCATCGAGGAGGCAGAATCTCCTCCTGCCCCAGATCCCAGAGGGACCTTTCCCCGTGGACGTGAGCTCTCCAAGCTGTTCTCAGAGGCCTTTTCTAGTCCTCGGACCACCCCCTGCCCATTTCCCTTTTTTCTAGAAACCTCCTCCACGGAAGCCCGAGTGCTTCCCACGTCTCTGCACAGAAAGTGTTTTATGGTTTGCTCCCAGCTTGCTTTTTCGGCTTAACCCCCAGTGTTCTTTCTAGATCCGCACTTGAGCGAGGCCTCGCTGGCCTCCGTACGCGTGGGCTTCCTCTGGGGATGGCATGGCACTCAGTGTCTCTGCGGCTCAGGGACCCTCGTTCTCGTGTGGCCGTCCCCCTGTTGAAATGCTCTGCCCTTTGAAGACAAAGAAAACACAATCAGTTGACTATGATACTTAGTAGGCACCCAGTAAATGCTTTTTGAATGAAGAAACGAGTTCAGTGGATGAATGAACAGATGGTTCAGTGAATGAACACATGAACAGGGTAGAAGTCAGGAGGTTTTCAGTGCTGTGCCAGGACCTAGCAGAGGCGGTATAAACCCAGCAGATGACGTAAGGCCTTTGACAGACAGACTGTGACACCTGTTAGGTAGCTGGACGACCTTAAGCCACTTAACGTTTCTACCCTGCAGTTTTTTTTCTTTTTTTAATCTATAGAATGGGATGATAGTATCTGTTTCAGGATCATTGTGAAGATCTGAGGTGAAAATGTACTCAGTCTGCTTAAGTGCCCTAAGGTGCCCACCTGGTGCTAACTGTGCCATTGCACCCCGTTTTTGCCTGACTGACCCCCACATCCAGGTCTCTGTTTAAACCTTCCCACCTAAGGAAACAGTACTGATATTTAGTAAGCACCTAACGATGTGGTAGGGGTTACCCTAAATACTTTACGTTCGTTCACTCATTCACTACTCCTAGGGAGGCACAACTGTGTTCCCAGTCCGTGGCTTGAGGGAACTGAGCCCCTGAGCACTTAGACGACTTGCCCATGGTCACGACGCCAGTGGCAGAAGCTGTTTGAGTCAGCAGACCGGCCCCGGGATCTGCGCTCTCAGCTGCTGCGCCTTCCCTAGCCACAGCATCCAAAATAATGCTGCCCTGCCGGCCCCAGGCCCCTCGCCCTGCACCCTGCTCCCTCTGCTTCACCACACTTTTCTCTGACATTATTTAACTCATGGTTTCTTTGTTCACTGTCCTCTCCCCACACCAGAATGTAAAGTCCTACTAAGATTCCCAAAGCTAGAGATTTTGTCACGTTCAATGCTAAGCCCCAAAGGCCTGAAGCGATGCAAGGCATGTCGTAAGTGCTCAGGACAAACTTTTTTGAAGGGCTGTTTTTACTTAATGTGATTTTGATCCGATTTCTTTATCTCCACATCTTCACTCTGTTTTCTTGACTACGATCTCGAGAGCCCACTTTTTAGCCTGAAATGTGTTCTGGGACCCACAAAGAAAAGCAGTCCTCGGTGTCACAGGATATTACATTCTAGGCTTGTTTGGAGAACGATGTGTGTAGTACGCCTCTATCAGCACACGTGGCGCACAGCAGGGAGAGAAGCGCCTAGAAGTAGTGGGGCTCGCGGTGGTGGCCCACTGTTTCTCTAACCGTCTGTAAAAAGAACCAGTGACTTTGCTCCAATCCAGCACAGTGAGCATTGGTGTGAACTGCATAAAAATAAAAAATAAAAACAAAGTCAGGGGCACCTGGGTGGCTCAGTCAGTTGAGCTTCCAACTTTGGCTCATGTCAAGATCTCATGGGTCACAAGTCCGAGCCCTGTGTCCGGGCTCTGTGCAGACTGCTCAGAGCCTGGAGCCTGCTTCAGATTCTGGGCCTCTCTCTCTCTGTCTCTCCCCTGCTCATGCTCAGTCTCTCTCTCTCTCTCTCTCTCTCTGCCCTTCCCCTGCTCATGCTCAGTCTGTCTCTCTCTCTCTTTCTCTCTCTCTCTCTCAAAAATAAACATTTAAAAAAATTATAGATAAAAAAAGACATAAAATTATTCTGTCATCATGACGTTTCTAAACACTGGCTCTCCGTATCTATAGGCATCTCATTGCTGACTGACCCAAGAACCACACATTGACTAGCCTTGACATAGATGGCTCGGAAACAGACTACTCCTTTCTCTTAGTTTCCTTTTTTTTGTTTGCCACAACTACCCTTGACTGTTGATAGTGTTTTCTTGGAGACATTATCTGAAATCGCTCAGTCATTTTTCTTAAAGTAAAAATCAACTTTAACACTGGTTCAAATGCTTGGGAACATACTCCAGATTTTCTGTGTAATGCCGGTCGGTGTTTAGGAAAAACAGAAAGGTGGAAGGAAACTCCTTAGCAGTGTATACCTTAAAGTCTAGTTCGTGTGTTGGCAAAGCCTGCTGAATACAATCACATTTGACACATACAATCACACTTTAGTGGTGACGCCTTATTTTATTGTATACTCACGTTTTATTACATTATGGAAGCCTCAGAATCTCTTCTATTTCTCAGGATAAAAGGTAGAAAGTGTCTCTTCTGTCCATAAAATCCCATGCATGAAGCTTGTAAGTCATCCAAGTTTCTCGTTGTATTCAGTATAAAATCTATCAGCTGCATGGAAGAGTCAAATGAATATTTATAGCCCTAAAGCTGTTTTCGAAGATCACACTTTCAGATCAGCTCCTAGAGCTGCATTACTTCCCCTCTGATACCGCTCCCCTGCGGTCCATAAGCCATTCACTGGTTTTTAAAAATAGTTTATTTTCAGGTTGGTTTCCATATAACACCCAGTGCTCATCCCCACAAGTGCCCTCCTCTGTGTCTTTCACCCCCCTTCCCCTCCCCCCACCCCCATCAGCCTTCAGTTTGTTCTCAGCATTTAAGAGTCTCTCATGGTTTGCCTCCCTCCCCGCCACTATTTTTCCCCTTCTTCTCCCCCATGGTCCTCCGTTAAGTTCCTCCTAATCCTCCTATACGTGCAAACATATGGTATCTGTCCTTCTCTGCCTGACTTATTTCGCTCAGCATAACACCCTCAAGATCCATCCATGTTGCTACACATGGCCAGATTTCATTCTTTCTCATTGCCATTGTATAGATAAACCACATCTTCTTGAACCATTCGTCTGTTGATGGACACTTAGGCTCTTTCCATGTTTTGGCTATTGTTGAGAGTGCTGCTATGAACATTGGGGTCCATGTGCCCCTATGGATCAGCACTCCTGTATCCCTTGGGTAAATTCCTAGCAGTGCTATTGCTGGGTCATAGGGGACTTCTATTGTTAATTTTTTGAGGAACCTCCACACTGTTTTCCGGAGGGGCTGCACCAGTTTACATTCCCACCAACAGTGTAGGAGGGTGCCCGTTTCTCCACATCCTTGCCAGCATCTAGAGTCTCCTGATTTGTTCATTTTAGCCGCTCTGACTGGCGTGAGGTAGTATCTCAGTGTGGTTTTGATTTGTATTTTCCTGATGAGGAGGGATGCTGAGCATTGTTTCATGTGTCTGTTGGCCATCTGGATGTTGTCTATGGAGAAGTGTCTGTTCATGTCTTCTGCCCATTTCTTCACTGGATTGTTTGTTTTTTGGGTGTGGAATTTGGTGAGTTCTGTAGAGATTTTTGATATTAGCCGTTTATCTGATATGTCATTTGCGTATCTTTTCCCATTCCGTCGGTTGCCCATTAGTTTCATGGATTGTTTTCTTTGCCATGCAGAAGGTTTTTATCTTGATGAGGTCCCAGTCGTTCATTTTTGCTCTTGATTCCCTTGCCTTTGGGGATGTGTCAAGTAAGAAATTGCTGCAGTTGAGGTCAAGGAGGTTGTTTGCTGCTCTCTCCTCTAGGGTTCTGATGGGTTTCCTGTCTCACATTCAGGTCCTTTATCCATTTTGAGTTTATTTTTGTGTGTGGTGTGAGAAAATGATCTAGTTTTCATTCTTCTGCATGTTGCTGTCCAGTTCTCCCAGTACCATCTGTTAAAGAGGCTGTCTTCTTTCCATTGGATACTTTTCCCACTTTGTCAAAGATTAGTTGGCTATACATTTTTGGGTCCACTTTTGAGTTCTCTATTCTATCCCATTGGTCTATGTGTCTGTTTTTGTGCCAATACCATACTGTCTTGATGATGACAGTTTTGTATTAGAGGCTAAAGTCTGGGATGGTTATG